GACGAGCTTAAAAGTTTTGCAAAAAGAAACAACACGACTTCTTGAAACTGTTGACGAAAATGAAGACTTAGCCATTTACTTAAGCGTTGTCGTTAGTCGGAAATAGCTGGGAATTGCGAGCAAACTATATTAGAAGTATAAGTCAAAGTTTAGATTACTCGCCATTACACCAAGGTGGCATTTCCGAAATGATTTGAACACAATATTATAGAAACGAGTTTGCGTCGGTCGTTGGTGATAACACTTCATATTTACTATAACAACAACCACAGTGGCCACAATAGTAACTTGAGAGTAAATCTGTTTGGAACTATTGTGACTAAACAGATACTTTACCCTCACTACCCTTCTGATGTATTCTTCAATTTATACCAAAACAAATTGCAACGGTTAACGTTGAATCCAAGTAGAAAATTAAATTCACCCTATGAAATTGTATTATGTGTTCGATTTAGCACACAGTAATAGATTTTCATATTGAAAAGCTTACATATTATGGAAGCATGTCAGATCATATAATTGGGAAATTGAGATAAATATTATGTATAGCAATAGACATCTAAAATAGCCTCAAACACATTGTGTATAAATGTCGAAAGCCAGTTACCACATTAGACATGGAAGTTCAACAAAAACTATTTGCCATTGATATGGAGGGTGGTCACGAAGATTTGACATATGATAAGTACATTTTATTAAGGTGTAAAAATTGTGCAGATCCATTGTGACTCACGCTGACCTTTTCCTTTGCAAATATAACTAACCCTATGTTTGCATGGTCGTTTATTCGGCGGAAAGACTGAGCAGATAACGTTATAATATACATATTGTATATTATACGGGACATAAAAAAACTGCGGGTCGGCCTCGGAGGACGGACATTAACAATAACGAAACTGTAAAATACCCTTTGGGTGTACAGGGCGCGAAAGGGTGGGCTCGATGGTTTTAATCACGTTTTTTTTACGACCGTGTGGAAACCCGACTTCGACTGCGGACAAAAGCCGACGAGTTACATTAAACTCGACGGAGACCAACGAGTCGACGCCGCATAATATGCACATATGCAAAACTGCAAAGGTCGTATAAAGCCGTCGTGTCAAAAGGGCGGCGGCGGTCGCCGCTGTAAATGAGTTAACGGAGGTGCATTTCCCATGCGATTCGCGATCACTTTATTATTTTTTTTTCCTTTTTCCACCCCTTTCTCTCCTTCATACCCTCTCCTCGCGTATAGGCCGGCCGGCGGACCGAAAACCGCCGCTACCGTGTAACCCTACTCGCTGCTCTTGTACAGCTCACGGCGGGCAATAATAATAATAATAATATAACGGCGCACAGGGTGTCCGGCTAGACTGGCGCGGGTCGGGGCGGCCCGGCCCGGCCGTATAGGATGTCTGGGTTGTCGCAACCCCCCCCCCCCCCACCATCCTCCTCCATATAGGCCGGTGCATATATGTTTTATGTCATAGGAGCGTTAGCGGCGGGTGCGGCGGCGGGGAGGGGGATAAGTGCAGTCGAGCCGGCCTAAGGGGTGGGGGCTTGTGCGGTACGCGATCCGTCTAGCCGTATCGACCCGGCGAGGATGATGATGATGACGGCCGCCTCTGCTTTGGTGCATTGCGTTCATCACCGGGGACTTCCGGGGTAGCTGCTATAGAGTTGCCGACCGGCACAGCGGGGACGACGAGGTGGCAGCAGACGCACAGACGGGCCGAGAGGGTAGAGAGAATGTTATCAAACGGACACCTACTCCCGGCCCTCCCCCGCCCCCGCGCGTCTCGCCGCTCTTATGCACACCACGGTTTTTACTGTCGAGTGCATTCGAGCCGCCGCCGCCGCTACCGTTGCCGACCAGGGGTATTCCGGGTAGGCTTGTTGGGGGCCTCGGCGGCCGACGGGATCAAAACCGAACGCCCCCGCCGTACCGTTGCAGACTGCACATTGCACACACACACACACCTCGCAACCCTTCCCCCACCCCCGGTCACTTGCACGCGTCGAGGGTAACGACCGCCGACACGCGAAACGAGACGACGGCGGCAGGAACAATACATAAAATATTTCATCCGTCCCGCGCGTATATTACTTTACAGTTATTTGATGTCCTGTACCATTCGTCTACCGCGGGACAAGACCCGCCCAATTAACACCTTTGCACGGTCCAGGAGCTGCCCGACTTGGGTGTTTTTTTATTAATTAAAAAGATAATCACAAGGAAATTACTTCATTAAATTTGCAGAATTACAAATTCAATTGGCTACAATTATCATTATCACAAGAAAATGTATACTTAAAAATGTCTTTTTTTCCAAATAAATGAATATGTGAAAAACTATCCGTTTAGTACGGAAATTTTTCACGACTTATTTCGAACCGATTTTTGATTAGCTCTCGAATGCAATTTCCCAAAAACCTATAAGAGGAGACCAATCTAATTGTTGATCCAGCAAGCAATAAATAAACTTAAAAATACATATAGCAATATATTAGGAATCGAAAGCTGAAAATTAACAATTTTCGAATAAATTTAAAAATTCTACATTAAGATTTCGAATGAGCGAGTAAGCCAAGTATACGATAACGGTAAACATCTTGGAAAATTGTTACCCAAAACATAACTGTCGTTTGAGTGAAAATAAAAATTATCAGTTTTCTCCAAATTTGTATAAAAAAAAAAGGAACCTTTGACAAAATGACCAGACTTCGTTTTTTTCTTCGTATTTAGAAAAAAACCCAACCTTTGACGACGTTACTTCGTTCAAACATTTTACAAAGTGTTGTCGAGTACATATTTTACATTACAGAATTTATACGGTATTTTATTTCTAGTCGTACCTTAAAAACCTGATTTTCCAAAATAGTACAAACTTGAATTTTAAACGGGTTTTTTTTAAAGGGGAGGGGGAACAAATAGTTGTAGTTTGTGCACAGAACAAAAAAAAATTGAAACCATCGAAATTAACTAACGGTCTTCAATAATATAATTGGAATTTTTCAAAATCAAGTTTTGTGATGCAAAGCGATATTTCCGCGGCCAGTCAAAATAATTTCTGACTGGGAAATCACTTATTTTTTCTAAATAGCTTATTGGACAAATTTTGAAAGTTTATCCGATTATTTATTTTTTTTTTCATCAAGTCCAGCATTGGAAACACAACAACACAGATAAAACATTGAGCCTTTCGACTCACCACAGCCAACCGGCTATATCAATAAAAAATAACTGTTTTGTGGTCACATCAAAACCGCCGAAAGAGCGCTTATTGTTATTTTAAGTAAACTCAAAGTTTACAAAGGCTTTATTGGTGTCGTGATAGACATACATATACATATTATTTGGGGGGGGGAGGGGGTGGTGTTTCCCGGCAGCAAATTTCGCAAGAATACAAAGTTATAATAACACAAAGTACGCCCTGAACAAAAAAAAAAAATTATTCCCAAGTCGGTGAATTTATTTGAAGGAAGCAAAGCGCGATAGTGCGGCGCCGAAAAAAGTGTTTCAGAAAAACCGTTTCAGTTTTGACATTTCAACTTTTGCTGCCGGACAAAAACCCTTTTTAAAGCTCAACGTCTTGGCCGTGTGTTCTCCTTCGGGTGGACCGTTACATAAAACAAAGGATTATCATCGGCCGTTTACACACACACAAGCTAGGCCGAAACGAACCATTCCGTCTGACTTATTCGGTTGGACTTAAGAACTCGGGTATTGTTGTACAGGTACTATTAGGAGGGTTAAGCCGGCGATTTCCGTGCCCAAAGGTCAAAAGGCCCCGCCCAAGGTGTATAAACACAAGACTAGAGAACTTGTGTACACATAATAATACAACCCGCACACAATACCCGAGGCGGGCCCGAAGGAAATACAAGGAAGTGGTGTAATCCGTTCTGGACGACTTGACTTAACTCGGTCCATATATTTTGAATGCTCCGTTAGTGTTTATACATGCACATACTCAAATAGCGCACCTACCTATGAACTAAACAAACAGTCTAAACACCTTAGGAAGACGACGGTATAGTGTTTAATGTGATTATATTGCGAGGAGGTCCAAAACACGGTAAAGAAACACTAATTACACAATACAGAATACGGACAAAGATTGGGTCAAAAAGTATGCGAGGCGACTTACTTGGAGACAAAAATATAGAGAAAGAGACGAACTTGGAAAATTGTTTTTTTTTATATAAATGGAAAAAGCGTACACGGCAGACAGAATTGGGCAAAATTTAATTGATTATTTTCATTTTTTATTATATTCTTTTTTCGAATATTTTCCATTTAAAATAACATTATTCGATGGCGGTTTTCATAAGACAAAAATAAAATCCCAATATTTTTTTTATTCGAAAAATTACTCAAAAAATAACATTAAGTTTGTTGAGTTTAAATTATTTTAATTATGAAAAGTTAATGAAATAAATATAAGTCTCCCGTTTAAGTTTCAAAGCTGATGAGCCCGAGTTAGATTGGGTAAACTTTTGAATCCTCAGTTTTTCTTTTGAAGGCTTGAAGATTTTAGTGTTATTTTATAACATTAGACAGTATTCAACATTTTATCTTTTTTTTTTCTGAATTCCAGAACAAAAAATTATAAAACCGAAACGGCAGCGTACATAGTTTTATTTTACTATTTAAAGTAAGAATGATTTACTAATTTAAATAATGTCTAACTCTGTTTGCACAGATATTATTTTGTCATTTTGTATATTTAATAAATAAATAAAAAAAAAATAATCTGTAATAGAACTTGCGGTTTATTGACAAAACCATTTCAAGTAATTTTGGTGTAAAAAAAACATTTACACCGTTGAATTTTGTTGCCATTGCAAATCGTCTTGACCGAGTCAAGCCATATAAATTACCACGAGTTATGTTAAGTCAAGACTACCGCAAAAAACACACTTGGGTAGGTCAAATGCAATTTTTAAGTGCGCACTAAATCTTTTGTTTTCTTGGCGATAAAAATAAAAGTTTAAGTATTAAGGGAAAAGCCACTTACTGAAATCGATGAGCAGTCGACCGTACCCCTGTCTCTGGTACGGTGGCAGCGTTAGGATACAGCTCACGTTGAAGTTCAAAAATGAATTTTTCTCCTGTAAAATTAGAAAAAAGTTAATCATTTTCATTGCGATGGAATAGTACAACTAAAATAGTACCAACAAGCTGTTACTAATCTATCCGATGGTTGCATAAATAATTTATTTTGGTAGGAAGCTCAATGCAATGTATAGCTTCTTTAAACTGTATTTATAATTTTCTACTATAATAATCAGTAGAGTAACTACATCCGCCCGTTTACACTACATCTCCTCACTATTTCTAACTATTAATAAGATCACACTAGTCTTAATAACTCTAATAGTCACCCACAACACATCACTATCCATATCTAAGATAACTGGAATACTAGCTTATTACAAAAAAAAAAAGTGTATTATTTCCTTATGTTAAAAATTAATTGAATGAATGATAATTTAATTCCAAAGTGAACATATAAATTTCGGTTCCAACAACCTAACCGGATCCACAAGGACAAACCCTTTTAATGTTATTAACTAATAGCTATGCTAAGTATTCTCCCAGCACTTGCAGAACGAACTTAAACTACTATCTATTTCCTTCAAATGGAGCCAAAGAGACTATATATTTTTCTGTAAATCTTTCGAACCGTCGTGCATACATTAGAAGACCGAATCGAAGAATACAACAAAAAGTATCGAGAAACTACATTAATTATTGTAATGCATTTTTGTTTAACTTTAACGACCAGACTATAATATAGTGGTAGCATTTCAGCGACCGTCGCATTCCATCAGCAAAACTGCTCCGGAGAGTATGGCAAAAGCATCTTATTTATTTTGCACGCATGTATACTTGCGGTAAGAAAATAAAAGAATGGCTTTTATACTAGCCATGGTATTATAAACATAATATACTGCTATGGTAGTCACCGTTATTTCGTCACCGCCGTCAAATAACATATTAAATAATACAACCGGGTACCTACTGAGTCTGTGAGTCGTTGCATTATTTGTAGGGCGACCAGTCAATAAAATAAAAAAAAAATTGCTAAGGGGTACCGTCTTTTGAATATTTAAAATATATACTTCAGCATTAAAGCCACTACCCAGTCGCTATAATATAACATCCACCCAGTTTGGCCATAAGAGTGAGGCTCGGTATCGTTTTGAAAAACCTAAAAGATAAATTTCCAAGTTCGGAAGTACCGACGACGGATTTATGTTGTACTTAAAACAATATATGTGCTCAAATGCATTACTGTTGTTAAACGCAGGCGAATTTATTGCATATTATTGGTCTAGGAGAACTTTGACCGTTTCAACGGTTCTTGTGTTTTAGTTTAGGTTCGAAATTTGATGTATTTATTTTATAAAGATATTAATCAATAAACAATGTTATCCCCTTACGCTGCTATCTTGTGAATTAATAATGTAATAAAGTAGGTGTATGCAATAACCTAGTTTATTACTATCTTTACGTTTTGGTGTTGTCAATTAAAAATTTAAAATAATTTCATAAGGCACGTACGGCATTTATTGAATAGTAACAATGCAAAAAATTACAATAAAAAATACTAATTTGTTAAAATAAAACAGTATTTCTTAAATTTTAATATTTATCAAAAAAAAAAATCTTGCTAAAACAAATAAAAAATTTAATACATCTACCAGAGCGTATTAGCGGTTCGTCAAATGATTATTTTTACCATAATTTTTTTATTATTAATATTTATTTAACATACTCAATATTTGTTTTCAAACTGTTAATATACTAAAAGCGGGTAATTTTAACAAAAAATAATTTAGCTAAATAAAGTGAGAAAAGAAACCACTACTGTGAAAAAGTGATTTTCAGTTGCAGAAAAAAAATACTATATTAGCGAGAGACGCTACCAGTCCTGTGATAAGAATGTCGAATGATAAGGAGAAATCAGCTGATAATAGATATGACAAGAAAGTGATAACAAATAGTGCGTATCAGCTGATAAGATAATTTGCATCTAAATCTTTTTTTTTTAATTTTTAAATATAAAAAAAAACAGCTATAATAACTAGTCAGATAATAAAAGCAAACAATTATTATTCTTAGCTTAATTCTGAGCAAACTGGCCAATCTAGACATATCAAGTTCAAAAATCAAGTTACTCGTTTTAATTATTCGGGTTATTTGTTTCGTTTATCTAATAATTGTTTTTTGGTTGTAAATCATAGTTAATACCGCTTGTTTTTGACAGTTCTTTGTGGCAACTATAAATTATGAAAATGTAATAAATTTTGTTTTATGGTTCAAAATTATATGCATAACGATGACTATCAACAATCGGCTTTGGTTTTAAAGATTATTTCGGCTAATTAACTCTAGTGTATCGTAATACCTGACCGGTGTTAAACCTTGCACACTAAGCTTATTCCATAAAAAAAAAAAATAATTGATGCATCCGTTTGTTTTGATTAATTATTTATACACTACACATTGAAATAGTGGTAGACCTTGGCGCCAAAAACAAAAACAGTTAGTCAAAAATACCAATTTGGCCTAACTTATAACAGGTCGAGTGTAATAAAATATATCAAGTATATGCAGTAATTGTTTTGAAAAATAAATCGTGGAAAAATCAAGAAATACAAAGTTTCAGGACTTATAGTCTAAAAATTAGAGTTTAAGACACAAGACAGATCTAGTGTGTCCTTATCAGGCTTGCAACTTCACTACAAATCTGTAGTAAAATGTTAGCAATTGTTTTTCTTTGCATTTTTAGCGAAAAATGAAATATTATTATATTTTCATTATTAAAATTTAGTCACCGTGACCTAACCTGACCGTCGGCAGTAATGCATAGGTACATTGGATTTTTTTTTCTACACCGAATAACAGCGATAGTAACAGTAATAACAATAATAATATTATTTATTATTATTGTTATTATGCACAGGTGAATCAAACACTGCGGGCTTTGGACACTGTTGTGTCGAGCCAACGCGTACAAAGAGTTTCATGGCCAGGACAATGTACCTGGCTAATGGATTTTTTCTACCGTAACGTGTCCGTCGGGTGACGTCACAGACCAGCAGATATGTACTAGACCAACATGAAACACATTATCGAGATTCTGGCTATACGCCGAGGAACCGGCATCGGTATTATATACTGTTTGGATGTGACTCCACAGGCCCGACAAACGATATTGTGTTCTTATTATTATCATCTGAACAAGTAAATGATTACAATAAAAATATCGCCGGACAGCAATAATAATAATAATCGTCCCGTCCGGTGTGTACGTTATATAATATAACATACACAAGTATAAATTATAAATGGTGGGCGCCGATATAGAACATATGTTTTATTAACATGCGCGTTTGGCAATCCGATTGATTTATATTTTAATATATGTTTGCACGACTTGTTGTACGACCGATCCCAAAAAAGGCGTTCGTTCGACCGTTAAATTTAAGTATAATCGCATTTAACACTAAAACTACATCACATCTGCCGAATATTCATCCGGTCGGAAGGATGGAACGCATTAAGTTCTTCGATTTACAACTAGTATATCTTTATAAAAACAAAATCATTGGTGAACGTCTCGAATCTTGGTCTAGACGTTGAGAGTGGCGGGGGGGGGGGCGTATTTATCAGTACGGCAAAGAGGGTTTTTGCGTTTGAAACTGACTGGTACATAATATTAATTACCCATTAAAAAGCTCCTTGATACTGTACGAATAAAATTACACTTGTTTTAGTGAGATATTGACAAAAATTGCCTTTAATTGCGCCCTAATAAAATATGATAAATACTGACCACCGTTGTGTATGGTAAGTTCAATGGTCACAAACACATATTTTGTTTGCATTTTTACTCTGTAAAAATAGTAAATAATAATAGAGTGCTTAACTATATTAAAAATATGTCTACAAGAACTACTCTAACCTACCTCCCCCGTAAGACCTATCTTGTCGTGGTGGCGGGGGCTTAATTGAGTCCGTGCTTAGCGGTCCCAGGTACTAGAGCTGATCCTTACTTTAATTAGTCGGTGTCGCAGGTTTGGTTTACTTGCTAGCACTTAGTCAACGGACCAGGAAAAGAAGACTCCTTAAAAACCCAACCTCGAGAAGGACACTCTAAACCAACTGGTTAGGTTTCCTGACAAAATTTGGCGGCCAAACTATCGTTTCTAACGATCTCCTGGTCTGGTTACATGCAACTCAATCTAATCTTAAAACGGTACCTCCTCCTTCCGGGGCCACTAGACAAAAAAGCTCCAACGTTAATACCTAATATCTTAATAATAATTAACTACTGTAACTCATATCTACTATACCTTTTATTTTATGTTATCTAATTATCATAACTATATAGTATATGGTAGTATATATGCATGTAACGACAAACCATACGAATAAATAAATAACTCTAACCCTAGAAGCGGCCTATGACAAATGGGAGCTGTAGATTTGCTGACTTACTTTACTAAAACGATAGGGAAAAAAACATAATATTTTTGTTTTATAAACCAACCAAGGGGGCTATTGTTTACACAACTTCCCCTTGACGAGATAATACAACCTAGTTACAGACAATCGTCACGTGTATGTACAAACTTCCAACGGGGAAGTCATTCGATTATGGCAAGCGATTACCGAGCGAGATGACATTGGGAGAGTGATAACGACCCGAAAGGATTTACCAAAGTACATTACAAAGTTTTGTCATTTTCTCTCCTCCCCCCCTCCTTCACCGGCTTTTGAAAAACTTGACAAACAAAATGCGTCATACCCCGAGTAGATTCGGCCACCATTATTCGAATAATATTATTTTATTTGAACATTATCGAATGCAAATATTATTATTACATTTTTACTTTATCCGGGCTGTAAAAAAGATATGTGTGTGTGTGTGTATGTAAGAGCTACATATATACACTAACCACAGGCGTCTCCGGTTCAAATATAAATAATTACACGGGGCCCCATTCGTATTTGTTGGTTAAGCGAAAAGAACCGCTCGTGTAACGACCGCGTTTAATATTCTACAGGCGTCTGTGTGGCGGGCGAGCAGAAGTAAGAA